TAAGACCCTGATTATGAAAGTTATCTTATCTTTCTAAGTGTCCCCAGTTCTCCTTTGTTGAAATCAGGCATAGGACAGAAATCAAAATAAACCAAAAAAAGTGCATTCTGGGAACTTCAGGTTCAGGACTAAAGACTGTCCTCAAAACTGGACTGACTTTCAGTTTTGAGCTTTGAAGTTCAAAAGTGGACAGGTGGAAATACTGCCTTCTTCATTGCCCTTTGGTGCAAGATATATTCTATGTTGCAGAGTAAGTGCCAACAGCAGCAAAATTATCGTCCCCTCCTGCTACTGTAGTAAGTCAGCAATGGCCCTTCTGTGGTCAAAATGGCAAATTCAGCAGCAGCTATTCGACAGGGATTTGCAAAAACTTCCCCGTGGCTGTTAGGAATCTTATTCAGCAGTGTCTTTGAAAATCCAATTCTGTGCAGAATTAGCTATGTAGAAATGACCTCAGTTGTGCTTTTTTTTTTTTTTTTAAGAGTTTTAAACAAATGTAATTTTTAATTTTTCTCAGTATGAATTTTGCGCTTAGCGCTGAAAAGTCTATTAGGTATCTATACATATATCCAGTATTCTTAAATTTAACATGGTTCAGAATTTTCTTTTCATATTAATGTAAAGCCTTCCAAAATTCCTGGCTTTATAGAGTCAGTTCGCCACACAAAGCCACTATACATCACTTAGGTTTGTGATGAAAGAATGGAATTGCAGCTGTGTGAGTATTAGAATACCCAAACATGAATTAGACTCACAAGCATTTGGCAATAGTTCAGAAAATGAGCTTAATCTGGTTTCATCTGAGACTGCTTTTCTCTGTTCTACAACATCCCCCCAAGATGTTGTGTCTGATATCAGATCACAACGTAATGGGAGTGACGCAAAATCAGAGAAAGCCTAAGAATCCAGGGGCGCATTTGCCTTCCCCAGAGATATTTTTTCCTTCTATTTCTTTTTTTTTCTCTCTCTCCCAGATTCCAACTCTGAAATTCAAGGTCATCCACCTATTAGATGAATTAATTATAAGCCAGAAAAGCAGCATTCGTTGTACTGTGATCTCACTCATATCTATAATTAAGGGTAAATATAATCTTCCTTTTAAGAAATGTACCACCCACCCAATGCATTTAAAGTGCTGACTGAAAAGAAATAATAGTTCAGAGCAAGATGATTTTAGTTTAACAAGAAAAAAGTTGATAATTTAAGCTTGAAGCAGTCAGTTCTATTTTTGATTACCATTCAGTTATAAATCTAATTTGAGATGTATGCTGCTTTTCTGTTACTCAATTTTAATTCATGGTTTGCATTCTTGGTTGCATAAGCCAAGTTCAGTGGTTGATCAAGGATGTTAAAAAGCTTTCCCCAAAAGAAATGGGGGCAGGGTTGAAAATCTGTTAGAAAGACAGTCTGAAACCCAGATCTGATGTAAAACAAACAAAAATTTTAATTGAAAGGGACCCTCACAGAATGCTGCACTTGGCATTGGAGTGGCTATGTTGGGACTGGCCCTCTGCTGAAGAATTGGCTGCAGGGGGTAGACCCCAAAATATTTAAACCTGATCGACAATATCCGCCTATTTAATACTTTGATTAGAGTATTTTGAGTCTTAAAATTGTTTATCTTTCAATAAAGTAAGGAATGAATAAGGGGAAGAGCTCATCTCATCACATTGCAGACAGTTAAGCAAATGCTAAACCATGGGTTTAAGATTTACAGGTTAGCTTTCTGAGATGCCACATCTTGCTTCCAGTGTTTCCTGGCAGACGTGGGCAGCCTTCTCCTGGGACCCAGTGTAACCGCAGAGCATGAGCTTGCACAATGTCAAAACCTAAAACCTCGCTAACCCTATACAAGGCAAAGAGAAATTGACCCATTTAAAAGTAGACTTTACCTTTCAACCTTAACATTTATTAACCATAAATTTGTCTTTACACTACATGTAGGTAAGTTCGTCTGTAAATGAATTCCTTGTCCATTTTATGCAATACTTAATTTACCTTATTCAATCAAATTAATTTATCTTTTTAAATTTGTAAACTCAGATTTTTCAGCTGGTGGAAAATTTTTTTATCTTTCTTATTGCTACAGTTAAGTGTGTGACGTAAAGGCCAAACAATAGTCAATGGCCATTGTTCATTTCACAAGTATACTCTACAATGAGAACACATATATTTTTATCTTGATTTTCCCTGGGGGCTGAATAGGGCCCCCTTAAGTGTGAGGAAATGCTTATTTTTGTTACATTAGAAGAATGATTCTGTTGTCAAGTGAAAAAGAAAAAGGAACAAACAAGTCTAAAAAGATAGACACAGAAATGTGCTTTGTAAAAAAAGAGATTAGCATGGGCCACTAAATGTTTGTCGGCGCTGTCTGGTTTTAGACTAAGTCACTCTACACAGTTCATGTGGCTGGCTGCACTTTCTGGAGTCGCATACATGATCTATTTACAACTGGCCCATGAAATAATTTTCTTTTACATTAGCAACAATAAGGTGAGCCCCAGGCTCTTAGCTACCATCTAGTTATCATTTTATATTTTTCACAGCTCTATTGCGAATGCTGCTAAAATACAGTATTGCAAGTTTCTTTTTATGGTGACTTATTGAATGCATCTACTTTCTTGGGAGTGAAAATCTTTGCCACCAGTACCAACAAAACAAAGCAATAGTTAAGCTTATTAAAAAGACAAGCATTTAAAAAAATCTGCTCAGCACTTTTCTGAATATTTTGTATAATTTTAGAAAAATAAACATGAAGAAATGGGATAATCCATGGTTACCAGAAGGGAAGGGAAGGGAGGACTTGAGAAGGTAAAGGGGATCAAATATATGGTGAAGGAAGGAGACTACACTTCAGGTGTTGAGCACACCATGGCATATATAGGTGTCTTATTATAAAGTTATTCACCTGAAACTTAAGTGTATATTAAGTATATTGTTATTAACCAATGTCATCCAATAAATTTAATTAAAAAGTAAAGTACAAAAATATTATCAATAATATAGTTTTGGACTCCTATTTCCAATGAAATAAAGACTCATTTGTAGATTTACCAAACTATAAGAGGTTGTGATTTAAATCATCTGCAGATTTATTAATGAAAATTTCAAAGAAAATTTGGATTTGGACTTAAATATAGACTTCGTTAATAAGATTTACCAAGATCAAGATTTTTGATTGAGATTCTAAAAATGTTTAATACCATTCCTAAAATGACAAAGAAATCATTTGATGATATACTGTTGGATTCCTGATTTTGTAGAAAAGTTGATTATAAAAAGCTCTGTATTTTAGTTTGTCATTGCATAGCATTTTGACATCTTAAATTCAGAAGAGACAGTAATTGAGCATGTGAAAGCCAGATTTTTATCTGGTATATAATCTGGTTTTTATTGGCAATTTATTTGGCAGATATTAAGATACTTACAGTGAGCTGATTACTCAAAATGCGCTTCCAACCTAAAATCTCACCCTTGAAGTTTTATTTCAAAGTAAGGTTTATTATGTATCCCTTCAAAAAGTCTGAAACTGGAATCAGGCAAAAGCTAGCTTGTCAGTAGCTGATTAGTCCTTTATCTATTACTCATCCAGCACTCACAAATCCCTGGGAATGGAAGGGTCTCTTTATGATATTTCGCTATATGGCAGGGGAAAGGGAAGGTTTAAATTTTTGATTTTCCAGCTTATGGGTCATATTTGACCAACTGCTTTCACTAGCAGACATGCCACTTTGTTGAGCTATTTAGGAATCAAAAAGACTGCCTTAATTTAAAACAAGGACCCTTTGTTTTAGTTGGTGACTGCCTTGTGAAATTTTTCAGTTCTCAGCGGGTTAACCAGGGAACAGGGGCAGAGTCATAATTGGCCTATTTAGAGTATTTTGCATGTGAATAGTGTGTTAGTGAAGCATCCCTAAGTCTGTTGTGAGTGACATGGTGATTAGAATTTAGATTAGGGAAAACACATTCTGTACTTTATCAAGGACAGTAATTAGTTCAGTCAGTAAAAGTTGATTACAAGTAACGATAAAGTTAGATTTTTAGTACTTAATTTTAAAATTTCTTTATTAAATAGTAAATTTGCTCTTAATATAAATGGTAGTATCTACACTTGTTTTCTTTCACATCAGAATAATTAAAAGAACAATGTGTTCAATGCAGAGCTTAATCAGACGATTTATATGTTATGGGTAAGTTTCTATGTAGTTTTTAGAAAATGTGATATTATATAATCTTTCATATGTCATCATTTTCGAAGGTTTAGTAATTTGCCACACTGTGATAAGTTAATGATATTTGTGAAAGTTTTCTCGTGTTCAGGTAAATGTTTAATCTGTGGGGATGTGTTTCAACCTCCGATAGTCCTCAAGAGGGCACCTAACGTTCTTTAATCTGTTCCTGTTCGCGTAGAAAGCCTCCTGTTCCTATGATTTTGGGAGTTAATGTGAGGATTTGAATTTCCACCCGGATCGTTGGCATTTTCTTTTCTGTGGGTGCTGCGTAAGTCTGTGGAGGATCGTGCTGTGCCGAGGCAGAGGCAAGGTTCTCAGTGGACTTAGCATCTATCTCCACTCACCCCCAATGTGAGCAGCCAGGGAGATGTGTGCATTCGGAAAATCAGATGCTGCTTGGTTCTTGTTAAGGAAGGGCATGAATAGTTCCCAGATGTGAGCTTAAGTAGAGATAAAGAAAACATTAGTCTTACATAAGTGCCCTTTTCTTTTAAATCAAAATGTTAGTCCTCTTAAAAGATTAAAATACTGCTTAGGAGGGAATCACCTTCTACCTTCCTTTCCAAAGTAGGAATTAAAAATTCACCGACTCTGTGCTAGCTTCTTAGACTGCTTTCTTTCCCTTTTTGTGTTGGTGGGTTTTAATTGTTTCAGCTTAGCAGATGCTGTTTTCTTTATTGCATTGGTTTAAGTACTAACAATCAGTTGGGGGGTGGTGAATGTGAAAAATTAACCTTATTTGCTTGTTTTCCCTTTTTAACCTTTCAGCAGAGTCTCCTTGGAGGTGACATGGATATGGGCAATCCAGGAACCCTTTCGCCCACCAAACCTGGTTCCCAGTATTATCAGTATTCTAGCAATAACCCCCGAAGGAGGCCTCTTCACAGTAGTGCCATGGGTAAGGTATTCCTCTGTTTGAATGCCTGAGTGATTCTTAGTAGTCTCTTTTTTCTGTCTTTTTTAATACCACTCTCTCATCCTATCCCCCCCCCCAAAAAAAATCATGAAATTTTGCTCAATTGTCAGGCTCATGATTCCCCCTCAGTAGTGCATTGGGTGGGGTATGTTAACACCCTGTAGTAGAGAAAGAGCTATTATGGTGAGCGCTTATTTCTTATGTTCTCTTCGCGGCCCATATGAGAAACATTTTAAACAATCAGAGTATTAAAAAGTTGAATATGTGCACTTTTATGAAAAAGGCAGAATTTGATTTCTGCCAGGATAAAAGGTGGTCATGGTAGCAACATTTTGCTAAGGTAATGATTTAAGAAAATCTGGTCTAATCTAAAGGCTTCGTGGTTTAAGCTGCTTTAGTTAGGAAACTGGGCCTGCGGGGAGCTCACAGCCTCTTCATTTCCTTTCAGAGGTACAGACAAAGAAAGTTCGGAAAGTTCCTCCAGGTTTGCCATCTTCAGTAAGTACTGCTGGTTTCTGCTTTGAATATTGTTAATTTCATTCTGTTTTGTGAGATGTGAGGGCAACAGGAGGAAATGAGGTTCCATGCACCAGAGCTGCAAGGTTATCTAGAAGGTGGATGAGGAAGGAATGCCCTGCACGTGCAGCCACCGGACCCACGTTGGAGTGATTAATGGCATGTTCTGCAAGACTGGGTGGTTGTGTGGGTATTCAGCAGGCGAAGCTCTGAAGGGAGCCTTGAAAAGGTGCCTGAAGGTCCAGGAGTTTTACCTGTGCGGAGCTTTCAAGAGAATGAGTATTAGTTTCATGTGTTGGTTAAATTCTTTGTCAGTATTATGATGATTTATGGATTTGCATGCGAAAGGAGATTTGTGGAGAGGATTTAGGAAAAATTTACATGGTTTTCAGCCCAGAGTGCAGAGAGAATGTCTCTATTTTCTAAAGAGGTTACTGAATAAGACTGCAAAGGTAGCTGCTTCGGTAGCCATTTGTGTCTGGAACACCAGGTGACAGCAAGAAGAATCCAGCTGTAACCAAAAGCATTCTGGGTCTTTCTCATAGCGAGCTAAATGCAGGAGTGGCTGAGGTCCCTCCAGTCCCTAGCAGAGCAAACAGTGGTTGTGATCACAAAGAAATATGTGGTATCTTATTTTCATTTCTTACATATATTTTCAGATTCGAGGTCCTGTTTTTTTTTTATTTAAAACTGGTCTATTTCTAATAATTTCCTCTTCACATAGCATACAAATATGAGTTCTTCTCTTCTTTTTTCTCCTTCCTTTTATCCCCCCTCCCAATTCTTCTTTCCTTTCTATGAGATAGATATTACAATTTAAATCTTTGTTCTGTAGGACACTAGTATTCTTTGAAAAGAATGATAAAGGGCCTATTATAAGTTCTCACATTCTAAAATAAATTATATTTATATTTCTGAAAATATATTACTAAGTAATTCTTGCTTTTTATTTTATTTTTAATAAAATAGAAGAATACTAGTTTTTGCAAATGCACTGTTAGATTAACCCAAACACCTGTGTATTTGACTTGATTTCAGTTTAGTTCATCTAAAAAGTTATTAAGTGAATATATCAGAATAACTCTTACAGGAGAGGGAGCAAATTTTGTATGCTGATTATCATAGACTTGGCCATGTTGAAGAGGTGTCACAAAAGTATCCATAAATATAGAAAAATATTGTGTAAATAAAACTGCCAATACATATAAAATAGTCACTTTGGACTACCAATAAGTCACTTAAAATGTACTGAGTGTTTATTCTTTGATTTTTCTGTGTTGTATTGAAATTGACTAATATCCCCTTAGGTTTTTATAAGCATATTTTAAGCTTGAAGTTTGTGGTGGATTTAATGTAGATGAAACTTTAGCTCTTAATAGCTTTTATGAAAACTTGAAATGATATAGTCCTCACAGCTGTTTACATTTTAAACATGCCTGAACTTAATATGGACAGCATTAAGTACAATAAGTGAACCTTTGAATGTTCTGAAATGATAGAAGAGCTCTGTGGTATAAAAGCCAAGCAAAACTTAAAGCAATAATGCCCTATTTATGCCTCATATTCAAATACATTTAGGTGTTTGTTTTTTTCCCCAACGCTAAAATAATGCAGAAATCTGCAGTTTCGAAGGGGTGCTTTGGTGTGGCATTAGAAATTATCTATCTGCTTATTAATTGTTAACAATTTCTCATAATTCATTGTATATTTTTAAGTATTTCCCTGGAGGGAACTGGCCACTATAGAAAATTGTCTTAATAGCAAATTTTTCTTTGCTATTAAGACAATTTATGTGTTGCTGATATGTTAACAAATATTAAAGTATATTTTCCTTCTGAATAGATCTGGAATTGGAAATTTAGTTTGCATTATTAATTTTGGGGTTTTGATGATCAGTTTAGGAATTACTATTGATAGAAAGTGTATCTTGGCTACACGTTTTAATGGTCCTTGTAGAACATCTTGGTAAATAGGGTACCTTTTTTGAAAGACAAGGAGGGAAATTCTGTTGAAATGGAAATTTTACCCTTTTGTGTGTGTTTGACTTTGTATTTTATTCAAGAAGAATAAGATACCTTGGTTGATTTTTGGAATCCAATAATCTATTTATTGTCATTACTTTAAAAATAATCTAGCTCTGTTTAAATAGCAGTGTAACTTAGTTTATATTAGCTTTGTTGTATGTATTGATTATATGCGTTACCATCACACAAAATGTATATTTTATTTTGACCCAAAGAGATGGTCTGTAGTAGACACTGTAACACTTTTGCCCCAGTAGATCTATATTTATGTATTTTTAGATCTCTGCTATGTTTAATTCTTTTTTTTAAGCTCAGATACACTTATGAATATTTATTTGATAAGAGACACCTCTAAAATTCAATATATATGAACATTTTTATAACAAATAACAAAAATTACGGTTAATAAAAGATTCCCTTTGGAGTGGTTATGACTAGATAAAGACATTTATGTTTTCTTTCATGCATATTTACCATGATAAATAGTAATAAATCTGTCATAATCTGTTGTGTCAACTCCACTTGTTTTTGTTTTTTGTTGTTTTGTTTTGTTTTTTCAAAATGGGACCTTTCTCTTCCTTAACATAAAACAAAGAAAATTGAAACTGTGACATCTGTAATCAGATGTTATTGATGACATGACTGTGGGGCAGAGGCTGGACTTCTCTGGTGGCCATTAGGCTGGGTCTTTTAGGAAATGAAGAGAGGGAGGGGCTTGCCTAACCCTGTTTTTGAAAATACTGCAGCATCTGTGGAAGAGAAAAACGCACGCCTGGCCCAGCATCATGCCATGGACCTGGCAGGTCCTTAAACGTGTGTCTGTGCCCTGTGCCGCTTCTAGAGCCCCAGGTCACTGAGGAAGCCGGGCCCGGGAGGGGCAAAGGCCATCCTGCAGGGCCTGTGGCACAGGCGCAGTGGGGAGGAAGTCCCCAGTGGAACAGGCCTGCAGTAGGGCGAGGGGGATGTTGTGTTTAAAGGAAAGCCTGTGTGAAATGACACCTCTAATGGCCCAGAGCCCTGCTTAGCACGCACAACATTGTCATGTTCTCTGTTCAGGTTCTACTATGTGCTCCTCTCAGTCCCATCCCAGTCCCTGGTAGCCCTTACCTGGCGGTGAGACGTTGGTCAGAAAGCTCCTTTTGTTGATGCCAGTTCGTTTCTCTGAGCTAATTTCTAGACTCTACTTGTGAAGTTCTTATTTGTTTGATTTCCACATCTTGGTTTTCTTTTTAAAAACATTTACCATCTTAGTATTTCTCAGCTTTACTGCTCTTTTCAGCAGTTGTCTTACCCTTCGTATAACCTAATAACATACACACTAAATCATGAATTTATGCAGAAAAATCTACCACTTTAAATCACATTTTTGGAAAAATGATCCACGATTCTTAGATGTTAATACAGGAGCATTAACATCTAGAAAGCAACAAATTTTCATATTGTATAGTTTTAAAATATTTTTTTCAAACACAAAGATATGCATCTCCTTTCAGATACATTCTTGTGCCCATCAGTATGTAAATACATAAGGCTTTAATCTTATCATTTAGAATGTTTCAAAACAATCTACATTTTACCAGATACAATTAATAACTATAATCATTTCACTTCAAACATTGGTGGAATCTATCTTCACTTCTAGTCGTTTTGAATTCACTGTCACTCTCCGCTGAAATCCCTAGAACCTCAGAGTTCTCTGGAAATAAGTTTTATCCTTAGAAATAGTTTATGGTCTCGTATATCACTAAGTGATCCTTTATTCACACTGTACTTCTCAGTAAAGTCTGTTTTCTGTGTTGAATTGCAGTTTTAGTTTTGGTATTATTGTTTATGAGTTTGTTTTTTTATTTGAAACTTAAGAGGATCTGCCATTGTATTAAGTTTTCAGAGATCATTTTGGACACACTGATTTTAAGGAAGACAATCTCCATTATCATAAATATTCTAAAATAAAATTTAGAACCTTCAGGAAAATGTGAGACATAAGTTAATCATTATATGGATTTGAAAAATACGATTCAGTGTTTAGCAATTTTCATAAGGAAAAATTCTAAATAAAATAAAATCTTAAAGTTCTGATGAGGCTTTCTTTTATAGAAGAGATTACTGGGAAATCACGAAAAGGTGGATAATGCTGATGACATTAATTATTTTGTGTGTTTTCCATTATATTAAAAACCCTTCATCTTTGAAGGTTTCAAACATGATCTTGAGTTCATACCTGAAGTTATTTTGAGAAAAAAACTTTTCTCAAATGCATGAAGAAATCACAATTTAAAAGAGAAGTTGGTAAATTGTGTTTTTTTTATATTAGAGTTCCAGAAATCTTATATGGTCAAAAAATTCAGTGCTTAAAATGCATAATTTCCCCCATCACTTTTGAAACTGATCATGAGGAAATCACAATGATGCTTTATCATGTCATCCAACTTGTAACTTCAGTGACAAGACAACTTTTGTTAAAATAAAATTTATATTAAGTTTAAAATGATCTGTCAGCCACCAGGGCTCTATCTTGAGTAGGAAGGTCTAGAAGTAGCCAGCCAATTGTGTGATGAGATATAAAAGGAGGAGCCTCTTCAAGGGCCATTCCTGGAGAGGGAGGTACTTTGTGAAAACATATCACTGTAGGAATTTACATTGAAATGTTAGGATAAGTCACAGTATTCCAACTTTAAACATAGTATGACCATTTTTCAATTAAAGATATTGGAGCATGAAGTTTGGATATTAAGCTTGTGTTTACTAATTATGAAAGTGTATAGGTGGGTGAAGGATAATGCAATTAAATCATCCCAAATAGGGGAAACATATTATTCACACAATTTATATAGAATGTGACACTGGGAAATACCTTGAGATTTGACAAATATTCACCACAGATTATTCCTGATTTTGTGCAGTTAATACTGAATTCAGTAAATCAAAAGCTTCAAAAATTCAGCACATTCATTGTTT